ACCGGCTTTTATTACTTATTTTATGCTGTAGAATAAAAAAAGATGCTTGCAGGATAGAAACAGACTGGCAGATGGAAAATAAAATAAATTTAGTAACAGAAAGTATTTAATCAGAGGGGCTCGATAAAAAAGCACGCTTTTAAGAAACAATAAAACCGTGTATCATTTACCCTTTAAAGGTATAGAGGACAATCTTTTATTTCCAGGTGGATCATCTAAATAAATGGTCCTACTAATTGTCAATCATTCTGGAGATATGTTTATGTGAGGCCATCCTACATGCTCGTCCCATCAGCTATATTTTTCTGCGCATGCACACTTTCAGGCGTATATCTGTGGTGAGCTACAGTTTCAGACAGTCATTGAAGCTCACCTTTCTAACCGCGGTTGTTTGAAAATGGCCGAGGGTCGCAAGAGAAAAAGTATCTACAAAGTGTATGAAAAGACAAAAAAGGCCTCAGAAGAGGCAGATATATCCCAGAATGCTTTGCGCAGAGAGCTCTCCTCGCAAAGCATTAAGGGATTTGCTGTCGCTACCCAACAGTCTCGACCAATAACTAAGAGGGCACAGGCGCTGCGCAGAGCAGGAGGAGTTATGTGACCAACGAGTAGCAAAAAGTCCAAACAGTCAGTTTGGACTTCGCAATAAAGTCTACTATATAGTCCCCGCTCTATATAGTGATTGAGGGATTTAGGGGTTAGGGTGGACGTTCGCACACAGTAAGCTTGTATGAGCTATGAGAATAGAAACTTTTAAAGGACAAATTGGCTCCTGCATGCCCTCACATGCATTTATTAGGATTTCCCTCTCAGGAGCGGGTACAGGGTTGTGCATGTGTATTTTCTTTTAAGTGGAGAAGATTCGCAAAAATCCTCCACAATACCTTTAAGTCACAATCGTGTTAAAATGATGCTGTTCTATTATTTGAAGAGTGAATATAAAACATTGAAGAATAATAAAAAGGGTTAAATTGGAGAGAGTACTTTTGAAAAGCACTGTAAATGCCAACTATAGTTAAAAGCAGTAGCTTTGACTTTAACAGAAGTGAGCTTGCTTAATCAGTTCCATCTGAGAATGACTGACATGAATCAGTCTGCTACATAAATGAGTGTCCTTGTAGAGACAATCGCCAACTGAAAGGCTCCTAAGTTCAGTCCAGTTCCTCTCAGAGATGATGTAATCATCACCACAAAGTGACACAGAAGAACGCTTTCTGTCAGTGAGTCACTTTGTTCCACACTGCAGCATTCACCAAGCCACAGACAGCTGCTAACAGAAGGGAGCCTCGAACGCTTCTCAGAGCATAGTCTGCGTTCTTCTTCAACCCACAGGATGGAATTGGTGGCATTTTCCCTCCAAACACCCAAGCTTTTCCCACAGCCCCCAGAGCGGTGAGGCAGAGCCGTTGCTGGTTCTAGGTCAAGAGTGTGACTTAGACTGGCGCTCTCTCAATAACTCTGGCCAACGTGTGTCATCGTAATCCTTTAGTTATGCAAATCTTCCCCTGTCTTGGTGCCGTTTGAGCCTATGCAGAGGGTAAAAGATGGCAGCACAATTTAGGTCAGTATCTTGTTCCGATACTCTACATTTATCAAGTAGGCCTAAGACTTTCCTCATTAGCACATCTCTGGCAACTGCAGAGAAATGCCCGGTCAAGATGCACTGAGATGTCTCCCGTTTTATCCTCCTGTTTTTGCACTGATGCTAACAGGACATAAGGCAGGGATATAGGGATATTGTTATCTTCTTAAACAGATTAACTGTAGTCTGTACAGAGTGAATAAACATCACTGGAAAGTGTGTCAACCTTTTGAGAGAGCAGTGACGCTTCAGACAATAGAGCAGAGGTCATTAGCATTGTATTAATTTGGCCGACAGAGCAGGGAGCGAAAGTGTGCAGTCGAAGCATGTGTGTGGGTATGAGTGAGAGCGTTCTGGTATGGTGAGGGGAAGGGGGAAGAGAGGTGTTGTTGGGTTGCTGGATGATTGTGAGCTCCCCCTTTACCAAATCGTTGATTGGTCAGACTAGACAGAAGGAAGAAGAGGGGGGAGAAAGCAGAGGATTTGGTGAGAATTAGATTTTTCTCAGTGCAGCAATTGTTTGACTTGTTAAATGGTGGCTGGGAGATGTAACTGGTGAAGTCTCAATGGGAGGCTGATGATGTGGTAAATACAAACTGGTCAGTGGAAACCAAAATAGAGTTATGATATGAGCAGGAGGGGAATTAAACGTGAGAAGCAAATCAGCTTAGGATATGAGGGATTTTCTCTGTTAATGCAGCAATTTCATCCGCAAAGGTCAAAAAAAGGAACTGTGAGCTACAGAACATCAAAAAACGAGTTCTTAAAGGAATACATGTTAGTCATTAAAATTATCTAATTTTCATTAGACTGCAAAAATAAATCAACTCTCAATAATGGTTCAACTTTATCATAGGCTGCTTAATTTTGATGGTTATTATACACAATCAAGATGTGTGGGTAGTTTTTTTAACATTGGCAAACCATATTAGTTTATCTGTATCAATGTTTAACTGCAAAATTTAAAACAAACATTTCTGGAAGCCATTTTTTATAATATTGTTATTTTTAAAAGTGATGTACAAAATACAGACTTAATATTTACTCATGTTGGTATAGTTGCAATGTATTTAACGTATTTAATGCCAATCAAGTTATTTTCAAAGGACTGCAAAGTTTATTTCTGTTACTCAGACACATTGTTACTTTTCTATTATATACAAATATAATCAATAATAAAAATGAATAAATTTAACTTTATTGATCTCACAATGGAGAAATAAACTCTCTGCACCTGATTGTAAATGTATTGCAAGTTTATTGATGAGTTTATGTCTTTGACCGATTAAAAGTATCCATATCAGGATGTTGAGCTATTTGCATTGACTTTCTGACTTTGTAGCATTTCCTGGCACTAATAAACTGGTAGTGACAGCTGAAAGGAACCACACTGTTTACAGTGTGAATGGCCATCAGATGCCACTGATTAGAGGTTTCAGTAGGCAGAGAGCAAACACAAAAAAAAATGTAAACAAAACACTGTTTAATTCTGTTTAGAGAAAAAAAATCTGGATACTGGAAGCAGTTGCTTAATTAGTAAAAATGTCTACGAAAGAAAAACAGATGAGATGAAAAACAGGGAGATTTTCTTTTTTTGCTGTTTATCGTCTAACAAAAGCAAGACAGAAAGGTATATTAGCTATGGTAAATGACCTGTATACATGTTGAGCTTTTTCAAGTCAGGAGACTTGACCAAAGCGCTTTACTCTACATTCAGTCATTCACCCATTCACTCACACACTGATTGTGGTGAGCTACATTGAAGCCACAGCTTCCCTGGGGCTCACTGACACAAGTGAGTCTGCCGTAAACTGGCGCCACCATCTGACCGCCATCAGTAGAAAAACTCCTTCATTTGACGTCACTGTTAAGCTGGTAATTATGACTTAACTAAAATGTTGGTTCAGCAGCTGTTATTATCAGTCCTGTTCAATCTCACAACCAAAATGGTAAGGCCAACATATCTGTATGAGTCACATTATGAATGAATGTAACATCTGCATAAATTTCATTAGTTAAGGGGTTGAGAAATGTTGTGTTTTGTCTGCAGTGATTTAGGCTTGAGCCACATTGAGAAGTTAAACAATAGTAATGCATAAAATCAAACTTCTAGCAAGCTAATTTTCTCAAACCCAAAGGTTGAACTTGTCATGAAGCTCCTTAAGATTGTTTCTCTTTTTGCAGAAGGACCTGGTCCAAGAGGCACAGCCATATGATTTAAAAGGCTAAATTAACTAAAAATGTAGCATTAACATCAATATAAATTTACATAATAAAAGTCATACAACAGGTACAAATGCTTTTATGGAATAACTGTGACACTATTCTTTTACAGAAGGCTATAAGAGCCTTTAACTGTCTCAGGGTGACATATTAGGATACAGCTCCATCACCTTTCAGACAAAAACAATCACAGAATAATATTTGCGTATTCAATTATAGCTTAACTGAAATCTCAGTATCTATTTTAACATCCAAATGTTCTCAAACACGTTCTTAAAACATTGCAAAAATATTATCTGAAGAGGTTTTTCTGAGAAACAAAATCAATTCACCTTTATCCAGATCAAAAAACCTGCTAGGCTTGCCAGCAGCCAGCTACAGAAACAGGATGTGATGAAGAGAGATCACATGTCTGATCTATACAAAGATGCACTTTAGATGTTTGCATACCATTCTAAAAAAAAATATGTCTGCATCTAAAGCGCATTTATATTATATGAACAGATTATTTTGAAAGTTATTGATAATAAACCGCTGGAAAGAAATTGGCCTAACATTGAGCCTTGAGGACCTCCAGTTGAATCAGAAAACTTACTATTTTAATCTGCAGTAAAAAAAAAACAAATGTTTATTTAATCGTCTCCGACTTCAGAACAAATTCTGATTGTTGTTTCTTTTTAAATGATAGGAACATTTATCTGAAATTGATCTATTACAACGTTTCTTAGTTAATTAGTTCAATTAATTATAATTCCGACTCATTAGGATAAGTTTAAATATATTCTACCCATATAAAATGTATAGCCCTACTGTTATTTCAATTTCTGGTTAAATGTTTACAGTTTGTTTAAATCAGTGTGTAGTTATCAAGCGTTGCCCTCTGACACAAACAGAACAGTGTGATGAAGAGAGATGACCAGCATAAACAACAACACGCCACTTTGACAGTTCAGATGACTTCAAGAATTTTTCTCCAGTAGAACAGACAGATGAATACAAGAGAAGCAAAAAGATTTGGCTTTAAAATGACCCCTGAACACCTGCCAGGAAGCTGGAGGGGTTTGTGTTTGCAGACAGCATCCAGTCCAGAGTGCTCCGACTCTTCCTTCATTCACAAAGTCTCGGCAGTGAGCTGTAAACTGCACCACATGTGTGTGTGAGTGCGTTGGAAATGGTTGAATATATCTCTGCTTACCTGGTTATTCCTTTTCGATGCCACACACGGAGCGCGGCTGCGTCTCTCCTTTCTCGCGGCCAAAGCGCGCTTTTGCTGCTCTGCTGTTTATTTACCCGCAGTCCCGTTCAGTGACGAGCCTCCTGCACTTGCCTCCTCCTTTGCCTCACTGGTCCTCTCTCCTCGCTTCCTCTCTCTCCACTTCACACGCGCACACGCTGTGACACGCGGGCGGGGGCGCGCAGCAGCTGTGCGCACGCGCTGCGCTGTAGCGCCGCTTCTGACGCGCGGTGGCCTCCAGGCACTGAGCCGCTCTAACAAATGATCTAACAAATATACAAGCTATTAGTGCTTCAGCCTCTGCGGGCTCTGGACATAACAGCTGGACAACAGCTGGACTGGGGTTCATTTTTTTTTTTTCTCTGTATAAAAAAAAAGGACAAAAGTTATCCTTTTAAAAGCAATAATGTCCTTTGCCTGTTATTTAACATCAGGGAGCAACATTTATGTAGAGAAGCTGGCTCCAGTTTTGGCATTCTGGCTGACATAATCTCAGTGGGGAAATTGTTACAAAACCTCCTCTGACATTTATGCAATTAGTACAAGCCAAGAGTAAAGGTAATATTGACATGTGAGTGACCTTTTGTCATATTTATATTTTTTATTTTGAGAGTAAAGTTAGGATGAACATCTTGAAGATTTTAACTAGGAAAACCTGAAAACGTACAGGGATTAAACCAGGAGAAGAAGTGTGACGGATGAAGAGCCTATAAAAAAAGGTGGGGAAAAAAAAAAAAAAAAAAAAAAAAAATATATATATATATATATATATATATATATATATATATATATATATATATATATATATATATATATGTATAGTTTAACAACGGAAAACCCAAGCTCTGTTATGCAAGTAGTGGCGTATTTCCAAAAATTTGTTTCCAAATAGGTGACATACAATTTCTGCTGCTTTGTTCAGGGAAGTAATTAGTTTTTTCTTATCTTTTTACATTTTATATATTAATTGTTTTGAGCAGCTCAGTGGAACAGTGGGTAGCACTGCTGTCTTGCAGCTACAAGGTTCCGGGTTAGATTCCCGGCCCGGGGTCTTTATGCATGGAATTTCCATGTTCTCCCTGTGCATGCGTGGGTTCTCTCCAGGTACTCCGGCTTCCTCCCAAAGTCTAAAAACATGATTGTTAGGTTAATTGGCTTCTCTAAAGTCTCCTTAGATGTGTGCGTAAATGGTTGTTTGTCTCTGTGTTGCATTGTGATGGACTGACGACCCATCCAGGGTGGACCCCGCCTCTCACCCATAGACAGCTGGAGATAGGCACCAGCACCCCTCGCGACCCTGCTTGGGTGACTAAGCGTACAGTAATAGAAGATGGATGGATGTTTATTGTTTTATAATCGAATGATTTCTTTGGATATCGTTTTATCCGTTTTTCCCTTGTGGTGTTAATCACCAGATCCCTGCTCCCATTGCTGCTTCTTTGTGTTTGACTGATTCACATTTCAGAATTTCAAATATAAATCCATTAAAAATTCTTAATTTCGTAGTTAGACAGTGGTCCCTATTTGCATTTTCAATGTGATTTCTGCTTTCACTATAACCTTCCTACCACTACCTGACAGTATTTACTGTAGGTCCTCAGAATATCACAGACTGAGCATACAATAGATTTCTTTGCTAGGCGCAGTCTCTTCAGTGCCTTCATCTTACTTACAAAACTAGCATCATAAAGATACATTTCAGATTTTCATATCATTTTTTAAAAGTTTTTCTCAAAATATAGGACAGGGTGTCCTAAATAGAGAAAAATTATAATTGATCTTTTAGTGGTCTTTTTATATTTTTTTAATATGTGTTTTTGTTTTCCAAACTTTATAGTTAAAGAGAAAAGTGCATTAATACGTATCATTACAACATTCGATAGATTACATAAACTACTTCCTGAATTTTTTTTATTTGCAAACAGTTACAGTGTATATCTAATATAACCCCAACTTGAACAATAAAAATATATTTTATAAAAATCATGAGAATGTGAAAACAACTTTGAAACCGCCAGTAGTGTGTAAAATCAAGCAAGTAAATGCATTTCTACTTGGAATGGACACGAGTTGGAGAATACTGAGGAAAAGATCAACAGACAGAGTCAATCATTTAGAATGTGTTCCAATGTAGTTATTTGTCACATTATAGTTCCTGTTGGCAATAAAAACATTTATCTCTGTATCAAACATATTTTTTCAGGACAAGATTTCTGTGTTTAAAATCTGATGATGTAATGTTTCAGGTGTAATGCTTCGAAAATAAACCTTGTATCCAAATTCAGAATCTCAAATTAGAACTTTGTGAAAAGGTCAAATACTGATGACACACTCTAATCAGCTAATTAACTCAAAACACCTGCAAAGGCCTTTAAATGGTTTCTCACAGCATCATTTTATAGGCTACACAATCAGGGGGAAGACTTCTGACTTGCCAGTTGTCCAAAGAACGAGCACTGACACCTTTCACAAGGAGGGCGAGACACTAAAGGTCATTACCAAGGAGGCTGAATGTTCACAGAGCTCTGTGTCCAATTTAATAGAGAGGCACAGGGAAGGAAAATACGTGGAAGAAAAAAGTGCACAAGCAATGGGGATAACAGCGCCCTGTCTCAAACAAGGCTCATTCAAAAATGTGGGCAAGGATCCTAAAGAGTGGATTGCAGCTGAAGTCAAAGCCTCAAGGACCACAATGCACAGATGTATGCAAAGACATGGGCTTCAGCTGTCACAGCCTTGTGTCAGGCGTCTGGCCACTCTTAAAAACACACCGTGTCAGAGCTAGCCGCCTGGGCTGAAGACTAAAAGGAGTAGCCTGCTGCTGGGTCGTCCAGTTACGTTCTCTAATGAAAGTAAATATTGAATTTCCTTTGGAATTCAAGGTCCCAGAGTCTGGAGGAAGAGAGAAAAGGCACAGAATTCATATTACTTGATTTCACTTTCCAACAGGACCTTGCACGCAAACAGTGCTAAAGCTACCAGTATCTGGTTTAAAAGGAACACAGTATCCCTGCATTTAATTGGCCTGCAAGCTTGCCTGACCTTATCTCCATTGGGAATCTTCTGAGTATTGTGAAGAGGAAGATGTGACATGCTAGACCTAAAAAGGCTATTATAATCATCTAAATCAGTAAACATAAACACTTGAATTATATTATTCTCTGTGTTAGGATATTTATGATATTCTAATTATATAACCGGCACCTGCATATCCTCAAATGTAGTGTAATGTTTGTTGCAAGTGCAAATAACTTCATAAGAAATAAAGGATTAAAACACAAACCCTGCCTGTAATTTTCCATAATATTCCAATTTAATATGACCATATGTATATTTCTTTTTGTTTAGTTACTCCTTACTCTAGATAATCCAGAGAGCTTGGAGGCGTCTCATAGGCACAGTATTCTTTTTTCTGTAGCACCAGTTTCCACATTTTTTTCATTTCTGGTGCAGAAAATAACAGTAGATAACAGCAATGATTCAGTCTTTAGGTAAAGTATGCAAGCTCTTTGGGAAAGTCAAATAAACACTCATGATATCAAAGCACACAAAGTGTTGACTTTTTATTTCCTTTAAGTTTCATTTTTGTTTGTTTAGGTTTGAATTTGAAGAGGATCTAAGGATCTCCTAGGTGAGGTCTCAAAGCCAACTTTAGGAATCGCTGTTCTATTAAGTTTAGGTCTAGAAACTGAGATGGTCATCGAGTACCGTTGTACTCAGAAAAAAATTCTGTGTTTTTCTTTCAAGGATTTTTGTTGTTAGTTTTCGGTCATCATCAACAAGCTATTTTCCACTTTTTTCTTGAAAAGATGATGCAATTTAACAATGTTTGCAAGAACTCTGGAAGAAAAAATGGTTAAAGCATAAATTAAGTTCTTGAATGTTCAGAAGTGGGTGAGGTTATCTTTGTATTTCACTTTTTGTTGCAGCAAACCCATATGGAATAGTTGTTGCAGAAAAGGTTTAATTTGTCTCATCTGATGTCACAAAACATTATATCTATATATATATATAGATATATATATATTTTTTTCCTCATCTCTCAAACCTTAATTTGCTAGTAATGTTAAATCAGCTTTAAATAACAACAGTAATAATCATATAGACTCTGGAATCAGTCAGGTATTGTTAGATAGGGTCATGTGACCTAAAATGAAAATTTGCTCCTAGTTAAATCATCACCCAGAAAAAGCCATGCTGTCTTCTTTTACAGAACGTACATTAAACTCCTCCATTATTTCAGACTCAGCACAGGGAACCATTAGCAGCCATGGCTTCAAACGGAGTCACAGAGCAAGTGACTCAGTTATTACTGTAAGGATAAGCCTGGTTTGGCATGGAAACAGGGTTTGCGGTTTGAGATGCCTTCCAGTAGCTGGTTGACTGAGATAAACAAATTAAGCCAAGATATGAAGCAAGAGGAGAAAGGGTTTGTGTTCTGGATGATTATTTATCTTGCAGCAAGCAAAGGGGGAGATAACAAGATGTCTTAAAGGCAATAAATTAGCTTCAAAAGGATCAACCTTTTTCCTCTCCCTCCCATTCTCTGACCCACAGTGCATGAGAGGACTCCACATGTGGACTGTTGCTCTGTTTTTATTGGAACTGTTTAATAATGACAGAAAACTGGATGAGAACAATTAGACCATAGTCAAATTGTAAAGCAAACCTTGGGGCTGTCTCTCATGTTTACCCTTTCATCACCATACTGAGAAATGTCGTAAATGTCCTTGACTCGGTTCTCAGTTTGCCCCCCAGATATCGGGACGTGTCTTGAATATCATTAAATCATAAAGCAGCCTCATAATGTTTCCTGAGTAAATTACCTCTAAAATACTCTGAGGGATTTCTTTGGTTCAAGGACTGCATTATGGAGATTAGGCACAAGGATTCTTCAAAATTGCATGCTGAATGGCAGGGTGGTGTCTGGAAATGCAAAAATCCATTTAGAGAAGATCCCATCTCCACCTTGGTGCATCGTCAATACTGGAGCTCATTATTGCAACGGATGCTTAAAGTCATCGGCTGAAGAAAATTAGACTCGATAAAGACATCTAAGCATCTATTGACACATTTTCTCCTTTCTGAGCTTTTCCTTCTGCGAGAACTCTATAAAGATACAAAGCTATAGATTGAATTAACTCTGATTAGAGGTGATTATTAAGATGTTTCATGGTGGTGTAGACAAATACCTTTTCCCAGCTGTTTCCTTCTCCCTACTGACAAGTGACAAACTGCAAACACCTGTGATTGCCTTCCTTTGACAATGCGTGCATCACTCCTCCATTATGACCAGATTTGTAGAGTGAATTACATGAAGCCTCTTGGCTGCTCTGATTGATGCTCTCCTTGCTCAAAACTGTCTTTGTGAGTTTGTACTTCTGATATAGTCTTTCTATTTTCAGATGATGGGCTGAGCTGTGCTAAGAGACGTGTTTGAAGCTTTGGATATTGTTTCCTCTCCTTTTGTTTTTCAGCTTTTGATTTTTCTGCTGTTTTTCTTGGTCTTCATGATGCCTTACATCATACATCTGAGAACAGGTGAAATTGCATTTAGATGAAATTACACAGCTATAGAATCTATTTCTTACAGGATTTCTAAAAATCAATTATTTTAACTTGTTTTTTTTATTTAGGATAAAGGGCATAAATCGATGCCCCTGGCCATTATTTTGATCTGTAAAAAAATATTAAGAAACATATAACCTGCCCTTCTGCTTCATGCGGATCTATCAAGAGGAAAACATAAAATCAGGTTGATTAAGGACAAAGATGAAAGAAAAAATTCTTTACCTACGATGAACAGGTTTCCAAAGCACTGTAGGTTATGTTTTACTCTGGGAATAAAACCTTTAATATATGATCTCATTATCATTCTGGTTCTCTCCAAAACAAACTAAGTTGTAACAAGTTGAGTTTCTTTTCTGCAGTTAAACCTCAGCTGTGATTTAGGAGCCTCCACCCTGAGGATAGGCAGTTACATGAAAACAAAGGTGAGACAACGACTCCTTGACACGCAGATTCCTGGGCTTAAACTAAAAAGACATGTTGGTATTCGCAGAGTGGATGTTTTGCCAAAGGTGTAAAAGAAATTAAATTTGTGATGTGATTACTGCTGGGGGACAGATCAGCAGTCAAATCTGTTTACATCAGAGTGAAGATGCATTTCCGTTCACTGGGTGGGGTTTGGAATTACATTAGGAGTTCTTTATATCGAGTGGAGGCAGCCTTTAACGCCAAGATAACCGTGTTAACTACAGGGGGGCAATGACCTGACCAGAATCTATTGAATACAACTGGTGATTCTCTGCGATGGGTAGATTAATACATATTAATGGTAATAATGAAGGTAGGGACACATTTTGGTAGGAGTTCCTTTATTTGTTGTTCTAGAAAGTTATTTCATGCTGAACTTGTTTAAAGTCTAAGTAAAGCTGCAGGGATAAGTAAGATTTTAGTTACCGTAATTAAAAAAACTAAGGAATATTATTTACCAGTAATTGTCCTAAAAGAAAAGAGGATATTTGCTTTTGCTGGTGACAATTTACAGTCATCCAGGTCAGAGTCATTCCAATAAAGTTTAAAAACAATCCATTGGACTTTGTTTCCAAGTTTGAAGATGTTTCGCTTCCCATCCAGGAAGCTTTTTCAATTCAGAATGTCAGGAATGACGTTGAGTTTGAGGCTTTATTCAGTAGCCGAACAAAGCCTTGTTTTTGCTTAGAAAACATGCAAATTGAAGCGGACGAACGGGTCCACCCCTCTGGAAGGGTGGTCGCTTTGCTTCAATTGAGTTAAACCCTTCCTGCTATCATCGCAACCCCAACCCCTTTATAGAGGAACAGAAGACTTCGCCTATTCAGCCAGGCCAACAATTCCCTTTAATGACGCCCCTTTCAGTGACATAGACAGGTATGGGGCATTACTGGCTAACAAAAGAAGCCAACTGACCCCTATTCCAAAGGGGTGGACCTGTTCATCCATTTCTATTTGCATGTTATCTAAGCAAAAACAATGTTTTGTTGGGCTACTCTATAAAGCTCTGAAACTCAATGCTATTTCTGACATTGAATTGGAAAAAGCTTCCTGGATGGGAAGCAAAACGTCTTCAAACTTAGAAACAAACTCCAGGGGATTGTTTTTTTTTTTTTTTTTTTTTTACTTTTTTGGAATTATATTTGCTTTTCCATCTAATTCTTATCACTTTATTTGGATTTCGTTTTTACATATGCATAGATATACATACAGATATATATACAGAAGAGCTATATGTGTATTTATTTTATCTCTTTTTATTCTTATTTTTATCTTTATTATATTGTCTAGTTGGATGTGTGTATATATTATATAAAACTGTAACTGGAGCGTGTAACAAAAGTAATTTCCCTCTGGGATTATTAAAGTATTTCTGATTCTGATGACACAGGATGGTGCAATTTATCCGTTTTTAAATGAGAAATTCCACAAATTAACCTTTACTGGGAAATTTTTAAGTAATTTTTTTATTTATGGCATCTACTAGAACACAATCAAATAGTATCACTGTTGCCTTGTAACCAGAAGGTAGATTTGAATCCAAGCCTGGGTTCTTTCTGCTTCGATTTTGAATGTTCTCCCTGTGCATGCCTGGGTTCTCCCTGGGTACTCTAGCTTCAATGCATTGTCCAAAAACATCTCCACTCACTCTTGGATAGCTTTTTGTCCTGTTGGTTTTAGTTGTCCTGTGATGGACGGCTGATCTGTCCAGGGTGTGCCTGGTGTCTCATCCCAAGTATACCCTGCAAGGAGGAGCAACAATAGATGATGGAAGGTATGATTGAAAGACACATTAAGCACTGCAGCCCATCCAGTTCATAATACCAATAACATCATACTTTATTTTACTTGTTCTACAATAGCAGTGTTGTCTAAGACACAAACCAGCTATTTTCTCCCTGTGCTTTTCCCAAAATGCAGATAAATTGGCGAGGGTTGTGTTAGGAGGGGGAACCGACGAAGAACTTGAGACAAAACAAATATGCAAATCACCAAAAAGACTGCCACACAGGATTGGTTGAAGCTGAGCCTGAACAGCAACCGCCTCTGGTACTGTTTGCCAGGGAGGGAAGGAAGGAAATTGGACCGTGTTGGCTGACTGGCGAGGAGGTGAGGAAAGCATGTCAGGAGGCAACAAGAGAAGAGGGAAGACAGGAGTGGAGAGGTTAGATAAGAGACTTTGATGCACCAACAAATTTAGGTAAAGGCAGAGAGCTGGCAGAGATGATGGAGAGAGGGAAGGTAAATCTACGTGTGCAGGAGACCAGATGGAAGTGAACAAGGCCGGGGGCTTCAGAGGCAGTTTTAAACTGCTACCATGGTACAGACAGAAAGAGACTTTAGCCTCTAAATGACCAGTCCTGCACATGAAATATACCTAAAAATATTAAAGAACACTTACGACTATGGAGTGTTTTATAAAGTATGATGAAAAAAAGGACATAAAACCTTTTAATGAAATATATGAATGGAAACAAGGTGTTTTTGACAACAAGATGTACGGCATTATGATCTTAACAATTACATTTTACCAGCAGTGAGGAATGGGATAAACTGCAGGTTCTCTGCAACCCAAACGGGATGAAACTGATCTGGAAAATACTGCATTTTTGCTGTTTTTGTTCTATTTAAAAATTTGCTTAACATCTAATGAAGATTGTTACAAGAAAGAAAGAAAGATTAACATTAGCATGACATCTTATGATATTTATGAAGGTGTTTATAATAAAATTTTTCTGTCCTTATAGAACGCGCAATCGCTCTTGTCATTTATATTTTTATATATCTGTCTGTGACCACTTTAAGTTCATTAAATTGGGTAAATGCTAAACAAATTTTGAGATTGTTAAAGGTAAATTTTTAACAGAAATATTTGCAATGTTTGTATCTGCTGGGCAGTTTTGAAATGGATTTTCTCACATCCTCTACTTTCATTATTGTGTTTTTGTAAATGTGACCATGAGAGGGGGGCTATGTTGGTGCACAGTGTTGGGGGGGATCCATTTCTGGGTAAGGAAAGCCTTGCAGTCAACTAACTCCCCCTCACCTTTCTCCATGTCATGACAGGTATCTCAAGGATGAGTGTGGAAATTACATTCCCCTGACAAAGCCCTGCTTCTGCAAAACACATTTGAGTTAAGGCAGGAAAAAACACACATACCTGAACGAGGAGCGATTGTAGTTTCATTTTAGACAAATCAGATTTAGCACTTTGAGCTGAAAAGGGGACGTTGTGTCACTCCAATAATTAGGCAGTTGTAGGCACACATTATGAAATTAATATCTATACTCCTTAGGTGATCCAAGAGCTGAGGGTGAAACTAGAGCTTTACTCAGATCCTAACTGGCTTATCTTTAAATAATAAGAGGAGGCGGGCAGCATTGTGGTTCAATGATAGGTTTTAATTACATTCTAAAAACAATAATTGCACTGGACCAACAGGAGACGGACGGTAAAATAAAAACAATCAGGACAATATCTGTAGCCATCTTATTTAGGTCCCTCTGGGAGTGACTGTCAGACACACAGTGTTTGGTTTGGCTGTGGAAATGAACAACAGCTGTTTTTACAGCAGCAAACAGAAACCCCAACTTTCAACTGTGGCAAATGAGTAACAGAAACCAGTCCAAGAAAACCTTATGGGTTTTAATACAATTTTTGCGGTTCAACCTGCATCATTTCAGAAAAGCTTACAGTATGGGAGAGAGGAAGCAGCAACAAAGGCAGACAGAGTGAGAGAGGCATCAAAGAAAAGAGGGCAAGCTGAAAACAGCTCCACATGTAAGCAGAAGCAAACATGCAGGCAAAATAATGGGGTTTGAAACAGGCGAACTTTAAATACTCCAAAGTCAAAACAACACGATAGTTAAACCTATTTTAGATCTCTGTTAAATAACATATCTGTGTGATTTACATCTCTATAGCATCTTATATTATATTAGAATCATATCTGTAACACCAGTAATACCTGAAGTGAGCCCTATTAACCTTTTACTGTGACTCACACTGTTCAACCAGAGCTGCATTGTAAAATGTGCAAAGTTTAATCATTTCAACTGAGAAAATGTTGACTCTCAAATCAACCCTGATTAGGTTATAAATGACTTTACCACAGCGATCTTTAACAAATGTACAGTACGACATAACGTAATAATTAATTTGAGTAATTATAAAGAGATTTCTTTATTTACTGTTATAAACAAACACTATAAATACAGCTGCACGAAATATTCGGCTAATTCAAAAACCTCACTATTTTTACCCTGGTTGGCAATGGTTAGACTTTCCAGGTGGAAAGTAAAAATTACGATATTTTACCAAAAAGCGAATGCAACACATGCTATTAAAGGGGCTAACCATAACACTCCTCTGTGACGGATGTGTTAAATATGGAGGAATCTTCAAATTTAGTTAATTTCAGTCGGAGTAAAGCGATAAGTATGAAAATGAAGTCAAAGGAAGCAGAGAGGATATTAAAATATCCAAACGAATGCCTCTTTCTAATAACAGCTTGCTAGACGCATTTTTCACTTCTCTAGTTTTGGACAAAAGGTACAGTCTGCCACAGGAAGTCAATCTATAGATGGATTTGTTTTGGGTTGCTGTTTATTTTGACCTTAATTTGCTGAGAAAGTGAGCTGCCCAGAAGAGGACTTCCTCAGATACCTGAATGGTTGAACGTGTTACAGCAGAGTTGATGAGTTTCATCCAAGCTTTCAGTTTCTGTCACAAGAACACGTTGTGCTTTGAAATCTAAGAGTTAAGGTGAGCGTCTACTTTTTCAACAGGAATAGAGAGACAGAGAAGAAGCTGTTCTATGAAGGCTTAATTCCTGATAAAAGATTATAAGCACAGTGGAAAATGTCAACCTCAAACCAATATCCCTTTGTTTTGCATTGGCAAACCCCTGTTGTACAGCAACTGCTCTGCAGCAGGAACACTTTGAAGCAACCTCTGCTGCTGGTTAACACATCATTAGTAGCTGCTCATAGCCGGAAGGACAAAAAATATTTTGAATGCCAGTAATTATACTTTTAAAAGAAAATTTGGAGTGAGCTAAAATTCAGAATTGGCAGATGAGAGCTTTAATAAAATATATATTGAAAATCTCCAAATCTCAGATCTTACATTTTAATTTTAAGGAAAGTTGATGATTAAGTGGTGCTCACTTATGAAATCTTAGAATATCCAGAGTATATATTTATATGTATATATATATATATATATAATTTCTACGGCATCCATCCATCCATTTTATTTTTTTCTGACACGCTTAATTAAATAAAATAATTAATTTAAATAGTGAGATGAGACTTACAGTAATGAAGCTCATCTATCCTTCTTCAAAAATGCAAAAGGGGCCATCAGTATGTTAAGGTTATTAAGAAATAAGACCCAAGAGGAGTAAAACTATCAAGCTTTTCTAATTTATATGCTTTAACTTGAACCAGGAGTTAGTTTTGATGCCAACTCTCTGCTTGCCTTGACTTCCTACCACTTGCGCTAATATTAGCAGGAGAGTCAACAGGCACAACGCCTCCAAATCAACAGTGTTACTTGGACTACCATTCAGGGAGATCCTCAAATTCCAAGTTTATAATAAAAAAAAAAAATCATGCTGAAATCGTTAATACACATATAGTAACCAGATAAACGTCCTCTGCCAAAGTAGCTGGCAGTGAAAACTGCCTAAGTGGGAAGTGCCAAAGCTGTTGGCACATGAACAGTAGACGATCAGTCAAAGTGTTGGTGAACGCAGAAGGCGTTTGGCTTTAAAGATGCAGCTCACAAAGTGTTTTTTTCTTCTTTTTTTTAACAGCTTTTGGTCGGAAAAAAAGACACTGACCATGCTACAGTAACCACGGTAACGTGACATAATTTAAATGTAGATCAAGAAGCGTGTTCGGGATGGGAAAGGTAACTTCTGTTTGTCTCTACAGCTTTGAGGTCAGACCGTTGTACATGTCAGCCCGGAGTCTCGCCCACTCTTTCACCCTCTGGACGGAGCTTTTCTCTCGGGTGAGGAGACGAGCAACCTTCTTCAGCTTTTCCTCATTCCTCTCCAGGTAACGGATGCCCTCAGCCTGCAGCATGTTGAGCTTCTCCAGCCGGCTTTCATCCATGGAGATTTCTTTATTAAGGAAGGGGTTGAAGCGGAAGTAGGTGTTGGGAGGGAGGAAAGCGTCCAGCATGGCGTGAACCTCTGGGGGACAGAAGCACACAGAATTAGCCCCCATTTAAGGCAGAAACCAATGAGCATACTTTCAACCCGGTAATAGCTTTAGTATGTGCAAACATTCAACAGCTGCGTTTGGAGAGAAAAGTACATGCAAAGCCAAATTCTGTCTGTCAGGACTGTGACAGTATTTAACGTGTCACTGAGTGAGCACTTGGAGCTGAAAGCCGGAGGTATGTCCAAAGGAAAACGTCTTACTCATCAGCCATAGCTGTCTCCATCTGCACTGCATGACTGCTTTTAAAATCAACAGCTTTTTAGTCCATACAAACAGGCAGCAGAAAAAAACATTGAAACTGTAAATAAAGCCTAATGGATCCAGAGCGATTCGAGTATTTATTTCTGTATGTGTTACCCCTGTAGGTCAGGAAGCTAGATTGACATTATGAAAGCTGCTCTGCTCTGAGGGTTCACAACATGGCAAAAGAGTTGCTGACGTTAAGTGTCAAAACCAATCAGTCTTAAAACGTTTAACTCTGGAAAAAAAAAAAAAAAAAAAACACTGCTTCATAGACTGTTGTTTTCAATCGAAGATAACTGGGCCTTGCTAGGATTTACCCACCCTGGTCAAGGCCTGGAAATCTCGAAATCTTCAACATTTTAAATAATGGCATTTTAAATAATAACACAGAAGTACAGCAACAATAATCAAGCATAACTTTCTGAAAGTGACGGGCGCCGCCATTTTGATTAGCTTGATTCCCTCCTTCTTCGTCTTCTTCTTGTTTTTTATGGCAGTTGGCAAATAACTTTTGGTGCATTACTGTCACCAACTGCTTGATTTCCTCCTTCAATACTGGCAGTAATACCGCAGATCGTCACTAGGAGGCGAGGAGTCAAGGAACCGAGATAGCGTGATGTGTAAACGGTCGTCAGAACCGAGTTCGGCCTGGTTAACTGATCCGAGCTTTATGTATACATAAAAAAGCAAGTGTTGTAAATGTCCATCAGAAGACATTGATAGGGCCCTATAATTTCCGCGATCACGGAATCGTGGAATTGCCGAATTAACGCGGAATCTAGTGTAAACGCGGAATTTCTACACTTGAAATGAAATTCTGTTTTTGTGTGGGAGAAGAACGTACGTCGGGGGGAAATGCACACCGGGGGACGCAAATCTGGGCAACACAACCCCTCCCGCTCCATTATTACCGCTTACTCTCCCCCATCAAAACATTGAAAAAATGGCAAAGTGGCTCTCCACAGCTCCGCTTTCTGCATAAAAATTTGAGAAACACGATGCTAAGCCCTGAGTACAGAGCTGAGCAGTTCCCTTGTGACTTTAACGTGTCAGTGAAATAAATTTAAGGTCATTCCTATTTTATTTGTGTACATTTTAATCATTAACATTAAAAGCACTTTTTTTTTACAACTGAAATAACAGTAAAGGGTAAAAAAACTGAATTTGCAAAAATTAAAACGGAAAAAACAGAATTTTCAAAAATTAAAACGGAAAAAACTGAATTTGGGAAAAAATAAAACGGAATTTGGGAAAAAATAAAACGGATTTTATAGGGCCCTACATTGATCATTCAGTTATTTTTGTATCCATGTTGTTTAGGGTTTGCGTCATTCCACATCTTCCACTGTGACTGCCTCAACTACAGATATGGTGCTGCGCTGCACAGCAAACAGGGCTCCACAGCGCTTTCTGCCAGAGTGGCGGTGCAAAGGTGTTTTATGTACATTTTATTTTATTTTTTTTTGTCGATACTAGGAACTGAAAGATCAATATTATATTGGGCAGTGGAAAATCACGATATATTGCCACATCAGATTTTCAAATCAGAAGTTGAAATGTGCTCAGTGATGAAACTTTTGGTCTGCGAAGGCCTCAGAGGTTCTTACATGGTATCATAGCAAAGAAGGCATGCAAGGAGGGAAAGAAGATGGGTGAGGAAGTAAAGTAGGAAGTAAATAAGGATATCAGGAACAGACGAAAAAGGAAGGACAATTTTATGACAAAAAAAATAAATAAAAATCAGTCTGAGAAAAGTGTTAGCTTAATAACACATTTAGCTATCATCCTAAATTAAAGGTATACTATGCAACCGGTGTTAATTTTCCAGCAAAGCTCCCCCCAGAGGGCGAAATTAAAAGTGCACTGTCGTAAATATGCTCAGCTGTTCTCCTGGTTTCTCCGTCAAGCCAGGCGCGGTTGTTTTGAGCTTAGCAGACAGGCGAACGCAACGAATCACCATGTCTACTGCGGTAAGTGACTGTTTTGTTCCAATTTTCGAGTTTGAAAATTTAGCATGTTTTCATACATTATTTGTTATGCATGCGCTTTCGCTGTTTTCTCGCTGGTTCCGCCATGATAACTGCACAAATATCGCCAATGCGCTAGCAACGAGCATGCCTTTCACTGGGGGCGTGTAGCAGTTCTCGCCGTAAAGCAAGACCAAATGTCGTGATGCACGAGACTTCTGAGCCTGTGGGTGCGGGCTGAGGGCTCCTGCAATTGCAAGTACGGTATTTCCCCTACAGACCACCAGGGCGGCCGAGAAAACATTTGTTCAATCTAAAATGACTCATTTAATCATCCAAAACGTTATGGAACACATTAACTGAAAAATGTTGCATAGTATGCCTTTAACACCCCAGGAAAAGCCAGTTACAACAACCCTAAAGGAGCTGCAGAGAATGGGACCTACAGAGGACAACTGCTGGTCAGAAAGTCCACAAAGCTGGCCTTTACGAGAAGAGTCAAGAAGAATTCCCGTGCAGAAATGAAATGAAGAAATGAAGTATGCAGTTTAAAACAAGCCGAGGTGGTGAAACATTGGATGTGCTGAAAAGGTGCTGCGCTCTGAGACCAAATAACAATTAATCAGTATCAGGGGTTTTCCTTCAGCAGAAAAAAGATGACGAGGTAAGCAATGTGGCATGTTATTTAATAAAGAAGCATGCATTTACTGGCTGTAAGAGAATTAAATCAAATCCGCCACCAAGGATCTGGGCCCTCAAGATACTAAACAGACTCTAAACGATGGCATGTTTCTCATAAAAACTGAGTATCTATAAAGATTACAACCGTCTACAAGCCAGGATATGATATGCAAAGTTCAGGACACTCTGAGCATCCTAATGCAAAAACAAACAGGTAACCTTCACTGTTCCTCCATACTGTAACACAGGAGAAAACTGGACCAAGGTCAGCTTTCCAAGACATTAACATTTAATATTCAGAGCCATACTACACCACACTTAAAACTGTGTTTATCTGTCCAATCAGTAAAAACCTGTGCAGTAAAAGGTTATTATTGCATGTTATCTGCAGGGGGCTGGTGAAGACGAAGGTTTAAAAAAGCAAATCTATAATTTATGTTCCGATTTATTGGCTTATTTAAGAGCAAAAGAGGCAAACTGACAAGATGAAGTCATAACCTTTTAAATAGGAAGAAAAGTGCAAAGAATAAACTGGGTTAGACACTGCAACAGAGCATCAACATGGAGGGCGAGCCAAATATAGGCACGGCAGAAGTGGCCATGTGGAGAGGTGATAAGGACATGAAAAGGCTGCAACTACAGAGGGCCACACTGGGATCCACATTTAGGTCCTTTATTTAGCACTAAACTCCTGAAAACATTATGCCTTTTGTGCAGATGTCCTGATGGTCACTTGGTTTATCTTAACACAGTTTCCAAACATATGTAGAAACATTAAGACCCCGCCCCTCAAAAATGTTTTTTCCCCCCATTTTTGATGCTACAAACTCACACTTACATATATCTCTTGAAGGTTTTATAGTCTAAAATAAATAATCTTATAAAAGGAGCAGAGAAAACGTGAAACATACATGACTATCAAGCGTTTCAGTAGCTGCACCCCACGCTTGAAAGGGCCGGACCCATGAAATTAAGAGTGAGAGAGGCGACTCCCAATGCCTTTGTGGACACTCTTTTTCGTACATCATCCTTGACCAAGTAGGGTCCAAACATATCAACTGCCGTAAACTGAAAGGGTGCAGTAGGTCTCGTCCTTTCAACCGGTAGGTCCCCCATCACTTGTTGACACACTTGTACTCTCATCTTCTTGCAAATAATGCATTGATTTACAGCTTTCTGTGCAAGTCTCATCCCTTGCACAACCCAAGCCTTTTTCCTCATCCTTAACAGTGTTCCAGCAACCCCTTCATGTCCCTCTTTATCACTTTGCTGGGCCAGGAGAACGCCCAGCCAGGAGTCAGAAGGTAAGAGTGGGACACTGACCTGGTCTTCCTTAAAGTGCTGAATTCGCCCACCACTCAGCAACAGACCACTAGCCCCATCCTTGTACACGACCAGCCGGTCGTGTACAAGGATGGGGAAAAAAGCCGTATCATGTATTTATAAATCTGTCATAGATTTTATTAAACTTAGAATATAAAACTGTATAGAGGCAAAAATCAATCAATCAATTTGAACCAGTGCAATTAAAGTAGGATATGCAACAGCTGGTCAAAGCCTGACAGAAAACATGAGAGTAACAGGAAAGTCTCAACAGAGCTAAAGCCAGAGATAAACTGTGCAATATTTTCAATCGTGACACACAGCTACAGCACAAACTGTACAACGAAACCGCAGGGTTTAAAAGTTCACAGCTCACGGTGTATGTTCTCACATTGTGCGGCAGTCTGATGCAATTTTACAACGGCAGACTGATTTTTACACGTTTGGTGGTCATGAGAGGCTGATCGCCCCTCGGTACCCCTTGTACACTACGGGACGAACGTAGTGAACCTTAATGTCGGCCCGATCTAAAAATTCTCACACCATTGGAGAATCGGCCAGAAAAGGGCAAAAATTGGTACAGTGTATGCCCCGCTTCAGGTGTTTTCTCTGCCTCTGTGAGACCATGAGGACCACGCTCAGCATAATTTATTGGATCATTAATGTCTTGTGTTAAGCTTAACCTGTTGAAACAAAATACTCTATGGAAGCTGAAATCAGTGAGAGGAATACTGACGGTCTTCCGGTCCATCCTTCCTTACGGAGAATAGCTGCCGAAGATGTAGGGCTTTTAACAGGTTGAAAGTGGCGATGGGGCTTCGTCTTAGGGATGAAGGTGAAAGGCTACGTGAAAGCCTCACCTAACCCTACATATCCAAGGTGTGCGTTTAGACTCCAGTTGTATAACCTTTACATATATATACAAGTGATCCCTTCATGTCAAAGGCAATTGAAAGGGGAATGGCAGCATAGTGGTTAGGGCATAGGGTCTCATTCCGATTGACACCACTCTGGGTCTCTGAGCAAGACCCTTAAACCCTCACTGCTCCCCGGGTGCCCCACGATGGCAGCCAACTGCTCCGCAAGGGGATGGTTAAATGCAGAGAGTTAATTAAGGGTTTATACAGGAAAGAGTAACTCTTATTTAATTCTTTTTAAAGCTCTTTTAATGCTCTTAGAAATCATTTTAATGCCATCAACAAGTACCCATGACTCTCTCTATATATATATAAAAAACACGGCAAAATAATTCGTCATCTCTACCATCGACAGGCTGCAGCCATGTCCCGAATTCCTCGTTTTCCAGCCACTTTTGTTGAAATTTGCATTTTCCCATTCTCTAGATTTTTTTCGCCTCAAGCTTCTTTTCCGAACATACGGCTTTACGATCAACTGCAAGCAGTTCCGCGCAAATACATAAATTGTTTTTATAAACTTTAATTTAAAAATGATAATTTAATGACTTTTAATAATTTTTAATGACCCGCAGAAACCCTGTAATTTGTCCAATGTGAGATCATACATTTCAGTTATTAACTACACACCTGTTACAGATTATGTCCGATGCATCGGATCGTCGGCTGTTGGATTGATGCATCGATACAAAACGATTAATATTTACACCTCTAATTGTGAGATGGAAGGAAAAAGAGAGGATTTTTCTAATCTAGCATGATTCAGCACCCATAAGTCAATACTTTGTGAAAACCATCTTATGCTGCAGTTACAGCTGCAGTCATTTGGGATAATTGGACTTAAACTTTAGTCAGATTGGATGGAGAGCTTCAGAAAGCAGCCATTTATAAGTCTTAGTACAGATTCCCAAATATATTTGGGTCTGGATTTTGACTGGGCCGTTCTAAGACATTAGCTCTTGATTGCTAAGGTTTAATGTCCTGCAGAAAGGTTAACCTCTGACTCCAATCACACATCTTTTGCAGAACTGAAAAGGTCTTCCTCCAGCAATCTCATGTATTTAGCTTCATCCATCTGCTTATCAACTCTCCTCAGCCCTTCTGTCCTGAACGAAAGAATCACGTATCAAAGAAATCTTTATTCTTTGATGAATGACTCCACACAGCTTTTCTGTCTCTCTGAGCCAGCATGCGGGAGATCTTTATTAACACAAAATAGTCGTCTCACATCAACATAAGTCGCAATATTTCCAAAGCATAACACACTGACCCAATGTTTTATACTTTTCCGAATCACATGAGGCCTCTAAGTCAATATGCTTTTTAACAAACATCCCATTGTTCCCAAAATCCTTCTTTAATTATACTGTTTACCAACCCTAATGGGCGAGCTTTTGAACATTTCTAACTGCTCTCTTCAGATGGGGGTCTTTCCTGCTGCCTCTAAAAGGGAAGGACTGTTGCCGCTGCTGGAGAAGAGTGATCTTTAACAATTTAAACAATCTTAGACTGGTATCGTGCTTGCCTTTTTAGGTAAGATTTTTTAGAAAAACTCGCTTTTATGCACCTTGTTGTTTGTTGGGTTTAGAACAAACCACCCCAATGAGACGGCCATTTTAAAGGTTCTGAATGATTAAATAATAAATTATGATTCTAACAAAATGATAGTGTTGCTTCTTTTGATGCAGTAGACCACACAGTTTTTTATCTCTCTCTTGGCAGCGTCATCAGGAGGCACAGTCAACTTTCACAGTTATGCTGATGATAAACAGTTATATATCTCAGATTCTCCTGGTGACATAGGACTAACGGATGCACCTTTTCACTGCATTTTAAAAATTAAATCCTGGATTTAACAGAAAACTCTCTTTGGGTAAACCAGGCCAAAACAGAAGTTTTATTTGTTGGTCCTGTTACCCATAGAGAGAAACTTTGACCTTGATTACAGCAAATGTCTTTAATTCCTTCCACAAAAGGAAGAAACCTGAACATGATTTTTAATTCTGAGCTGACTTGTATTCCATGCATCAAAAACATGATAAAAATAGGCTTTTATCATTTAAAGAACATTGTCAGAGTCCGCTCCATTCTCTCAGCCAAACTGGTAAAACTGGTGCATGTTTTTAATCATCAGTCGCATTGACTGCTGCAATGGCCTGCTTGGTGGTCTTCCAGAAATGTATATATCAGGTTTACAGCATTTAACCTGTTTTTAATAATAAATAAAATAAATAAAAAAAACAGCTGCGTGCTTTCTGATGAAAATCAGACAGCAGGAGCACATAGCACCTCTTTCAGGATCAATTTTAAGGGTCTTTTAATGGTTTTCAAGTATCTTAATGGTATTGGGCCTTTTTATGTTTCAAAACTACTTTTACCTTACCTCCTCTGGCAGCAAACTCCTTGTAATCCCTAAAGTCAGCACACATACCCACAGTGACGTGTTATTTCTGTATTATGGACTGAGGACCTCAGGGTCACAGAGGAAGTTCAGGTTTTTAGAGCAGACTCATCGCCCACCTTTTTAGCTTAGCTTTTAATCTTATTTTTTTTTTATCTGCAATTATTTATTGTAGAATTTTAACACTATATGCTCATTTTATATTTATTCACTATCCTTTTATCTCTTTTAAAAATGTACAACTATTTTGTTACTTATTTCTTTAGCATATGATTCTAAACCTCAAATGGGCTCCTGGTGGCTGTACTTGATCTGCTGCCCCAATGCAGACTAGGGGTGGAATGGTTCATAAAATCCACGGTTCTTCACGGTTTCGTGGCCACGGTTTTCTGTTCGGTATATGTTGATTGTTAGCCTGACATGTTGGTCGTGTTGCTGTTAGCATAAACAAAACGTGTTGCACACTGTTTTTATCCACAACTTTCTTTAGGTCACTCTAAATGCAAAGTGGTCCCATACAGCAGACCTATAAAGTGCTGATGGCGCGTCTTCCAACTCCTGTTCCTTCCCACTCGCCATACCCACACAATTCTCCACAACAACTGATTTTTTCTCTGCTACACCCGGCTACGCTGCTTCGCTTCTTCTTGTTTACTACTGGTGGTTGGCTTTGGTCGCAGTACTGCCACCTTCTGCTCTGGAGTGTAAACGCTTCGCCTATGAGAAAAAGGAGCAGTGCATGAACCCAACGCAACACACGCGAACCGAACCGAGACAGTTGAACAGAACGGTTCGGACGGTTTTCATAAACTGTTCCATCCCTAATGCAGACAGCTCTTTGAATCATGTTTCTGTACTTGGGTGTGTGTGTATGTCTTTGTGATGGGGTGGGGGGAGGGTAGGAGGGTAATTATCTGTTTTCTATGTTGGAGGGCAATAGGGTAACGTTTTTAATTGTGGAAAGCTATTTAAACTTCATTAATTGTATGAAAAGCGCTTTATAAATAAATTTTGATTGACTGATATTATAAACATAACACAACTAAACCATAAATATAATGTAGAATTGTATGTGCTTTAAAGTTTGCTTTAAAATTATTATTTAAAGTATTTTCATGTTTTAAAATTGCAGTTTGGTCCTTTTTTTTTTTTTTATAGACCAGACTGAAGAGGGCTATTTATAAGATGACACGTGTAAAAAATACTGCTACTGTGGAACACTTCTGAAATTTCCTTTACATTTTATTCTTCAAAGACTCAACCTTTTGCATCACTTACCCTCAGTGTCGGTGGCACTGCTGATGACGTTGGTAAGTTTAGTCTTGAGGCTCGTATATGTTGCGCTGGTCTTGCCTGCGGTTTCGATGCGTCCTGTGCCGAGCGAAACGACACACTCCAGTGGGGTGTCGGGCCACAAACACTTACACTCATGGATCGCAAGAGCTGTTGGGTTGTTAATCAGCAGACCTCCATCCTGAACAGCAACACAAGAAGTTCTCTGTTAGAAACTGGATCTGCTTTTATCACAAGACCATCCAAAACAAAATGAATGATTCAGTGTTTAGAAATGCAAACATCTTATCGGGTTTTTATGGTTTAAGGAGGAATTTCTTTTTGGAAAACATCAATTTACACCTGGAGAGCTATTTGGAGCCATGGAGGTTTTCCTTCCTTCTCCATAATATCATTGCAGCTAGCTTTGATATCAAAGAGGCCCCCAGAAGTGTTTTTGCTTTGGATCCATACTGTACCCAGGGCAGTGGGAGGGAGGGGGAGTCACTGTAGAGGCTGAGGGGATTGTTGAATAGGCATGAGGCTGAGGGGCCGCGGGGCTGTGAGCTGGCAGCCGGATCAAACACACCGGGGACAGTCCTCATTAAAGGGGCCCGGCTGGGGGGGTGAGAGGAGCCGCAGGGGCCCCTGAATGTCTTGGGACACAGCAAAGAGAACACTACTTGTTCATGTCTCTGGGTGGACGCTTGATCGAAAGAGCTTTCTTGCTTTGAGTCGATGTGTATAATTATCAGGGTGTAACTGACACTGGTCGTTTATTGGTCTCACCAGAACAAACATAACTCTGAGATAGTGGACATACAGAGTGAAGCAGAGCATCTGAACCGCCTGCCAACGATTTCAAGACAATGATTCCCAGAGACGGACGGAGAAAATTATTTTTAGTGCAAACATAATAACAGCACAGATGGCAACTGATATAGCCAAGAGTGGCATTAAGTAAATAAACATCAGCATTTTATTTCCTCTGTAAGTCCTAGAAGTTTGTTCCGAGAAAGGATGTGTTAGAGTAGCTAATCTAATGGAAACAATAACCGCAAATATTGGCCTATTCAAACTGACCCAAACACAATAACCATGGAACATTTACCGTCTGCATGTTCATACTCTTAATCATCATCGATAAGAAAAGAAATATTAACAGCATGAGCTTAAAAGGAGTTTATGGTCTGAATTCAATATGCTGAACTGAGTCAAACCATCTAATAAAACAAAAGCAGAAAACCCTCTGTTACAGCCCCTCCACTTTTATCTCTCTTATAGAGATGTATGAAAACAAGCCTTAAATACATGTAATTTTTACTGCAGGTAAACTATTTCAAATAAAGATGGCAATGATTCAGCCTTTGACATTTATACAGCTAGTAAAATAAATCCCATGTAAAGACATAAACTAACATTTCACATTAGATAAACGTAGAAGACAGATAGTTTAAAGCCTACTTTGAAAATTAGTATCTAAGCATTTTGTTCATTATTTAGCACTTTATATGAGAGCTCAATAATAATAGATGATAGGGGTGGAACGGTTCACAAAATACACGGTTCAGTTCGGTTCACGGTTTTCAGTTTGGTTCGGTATATGTTGATTGTTAGCCTGACATGTTCGTGGTCACGGTTTTCAGTTTGGTTCGGTACATGTGGGTCGTGTTGCTGTTAGAATAAACAACACATGTTGCACAATGCTTGCACACTGTTGCACTTTTATCCACAACTTTCTTTCCGCCGTCATCGTAGGTCACTCTAAATGCAAAGTGGTCCCATACAGCAGACCTATAAAGTGCTGCTGGCGCGTCTTCCAACTCCTGTTCTTTCCCACTCGCCATTCCGACACAATTCTCCACAACAACTGATTTTTTTTCTGCTACACCCGGCTACGCTGCTTCGTTTCTTCTTCTTGTTTACTACTGGTGGTTGGCTTTGGTCGCAGTACCGCCACCTTCTGCTCTGGAGTGTAAACGTTTCTCCAATGAGAAAAAGGAGCAGCGGATGAACCCAACGCAACACACGCGAACCGAACCGAGACAGTTGAACCGAACGGTTCGGACGGTTTTCATAAACCGTTCCATCCCTAGTTAATGCAATAAAAATTACGTTTTTAGAACGACAACAAAAAAAATATTCCAAGCATTGATTCCCCCATCAAATAATAATTAAAGTATATTATTTATAGGAAAGAAATACACTTAGTAAATGTAATCCTATGTAGCTTCCTGGGTCCAACAGTTAGCACATCAGGATAATATATGACATAGCGACAACAAAGGTAATTTTTTTATTATTTCATAATAATGCTTTGGAAATAAACAAAACTTGCAATCCTTTTTTTAGGTCTAAATTAGACAACCCTTCTTAACAACGAGGTAATGTCATGAAAGGCATGGAGTAGAAGTAGAAAAGTTATTTTAACTAATAATGTGAGTGCGGTTTTATTTCAATTTTTCTTTGCCCCAACCACAAGCATGTACACGTTTCACTCTAGGGTTTCATTTTTCTTCATGAAAAAAAAATTAAAGCCTGGAAAAGTGAAACCCTTCATTCTTCCTTGTAAGCTTACTTGTCCAGAATTCATCGTTGTGGGACGTTACTGTAACCTTTGTGTGAAAAAGTACTTTCTACAACTTGCGTGCACGGCTCTCTGTGCTAGCTGCAACTCTCTTCTCTTCTGTGTGTCTGCAGACCCACTTTAATCGTATCACTGCCACCTTATGGCTGGAGGGAGAGATTTAAGGTGTTAGCTTGGTAAATTTAATGTGACGTGCAATTTTAAAATCATCTTTGTTAAGTTTCAATTAAACTGCAAATGCAAATAATTGCCCAGTCCTAGTTTATATATTGCTACATGACAACACTACTTTAAAGGTATTAAATATTGTAAAATAAAGTTCTCCAAGAAATAAGGAAGTATCTGTTTACCTGCAGTTTACCATGAGCTGTAGAAGATATTTTTCTTGGTTTGGAAATGGGACAATTAAGCCTACCTTCAATTAAACCGATCAAATTTAATCGTTTTATTAGTATAGCATCAGTCTAAAACACATCATGTGAAGACACATGCAGAGTCAGCTCAGTCAAATCATGAAGATAAACAGTTTTGTGACAAAAGACAAGACAAAGTTTTTATTTTTAAGAAAATAAATCGACTTCCAGGGTTCAGAGTGTGAACGGTCAACTGTCATCACTGACCAGGGGTTTGAGCAAAGCAGACACCCAAAAGAAAAGCAGATCTAGGATTACCATCTATATTGGAGAAAATGAAAAGCTCAGTTCCTTCTGTTGTGGCCTAATCTGTAAGACAAGCATAGCTGTACCCATGAGTTCTAGGTCAGGGTTAAGGGTATGATTTTAAAACCCAGATCTACCAATCTGGTTCCCTGAGGAAAACCCTAACCCCTTAGATTGCTCCCTAGGTGCTCCAAGACGCCCCCTTCTCCTTAAAAGGTAGGCTAAACACAGGTATCAGATGTCAGAAGGTTGATCATAAAAACTACAATAACCTTTGGTAATGTGGCTGAGACACTGCCATCAAAAACAAAATGAAGCCCATAGCTCTGCTCTCAGAGAATGGGAGAACGTGCAAGGACACATATTGTTTATTTCAGCCGACACCAAAGCATTTGTCTTTTCCAGCAGGCATTGTTTAGGGCATACTGCAGTTAAACCAGGTGACCTGCTCCTCTTCACACAACGAAGCTTCCAGAGCTCGGCTTGGGTATTTATACAGGGGCTGGCTAAGTGGGGGGCAGCGCCCGCCGAATGTGAGGTAATAATCGAAAGGCTGCTGAAACACCATGTTTTTTTTTTTTCATCATATTTAATTGGTGCCAAAAAAACTTTTAGTACTAGATAGATAAAATACAAAATACAAAAAATTAGGGATGCACGATATTGGGATTTTGGCCGATATCCGATATGCCGATATTGGAAAACTCATGTAGCCGATAACCGATATCGATACTGATGTTAAAGCTGGACAAAAATAAGTAGTCATTGAAAATAGCAGTTTTGTTATCCATTTCTGAAAATAATATACTCAAATATATTTTCATATGCTGATATCAAATTGATTTTTAAAAACGAATCGATCTATTTTACTCTCAAAATCTCGTGAAATTTCATCGTTCTGTTACAAACTCTCGTGATATTTTGCAAATTCTTGTGAGATTTTGTTAGTAAAATAGATCGATACCGCGTCAATATATCAACATATAAAATCCACAGTTCAGCTAATTTTATTATAACAAAACAAGTATGCTAACTGGCTAACAAGTATTAGATCCTACAATGATGAAGCCAATAGCATAGGTAGAAGAATATCAATATAGATAGATTTTTGTTTTCCTTCTTCCTGTTTTAGAGTATTGACTAACAGGATGTAAGTTTAAGGAAGTTCTCCCTAATTTTTTAATAAAACCTATAACCCTGTGAATACTTCTTAGACTTAGACTTCTTAGACTTCTTTATTTGTCATTTTGTATGCACAGGGTGCATACTGAACGAAATTGCGTTACATACAGCTTATGAACGTTGCATTGATATTTCAAATGGCACGAGTTATAGAAAAATACAAAAAGTGCAGCAGTGGTCAAAGTGTGAACAGTGCAGAGGATAAGAGACAGTGTGCAAGTTGCAGTGGTTCAGTGCAAAATGGCATTTGTGCAAAAAATGCGTTATTGAAAAATACAATGAGATGAACAATTTAAAGGGCTAAAAGTTAAAAGTTCAGCAGCATTTGATGCCCGATAATGTGCAATAGGTGCAGAGTTCGGATTGTGGATCAAAGGTTCAACAGTTCCACAGCATTCTCCTAACTGGCTAATATGGAAAAGAACCACAAAGAGGCCTTCAATATGTCACAAAGCAGAGCAGAACTGCTGAGGTCGCCATTTGTCCAAAGCGCGTCATTATGCAGCAAAAGCTCGTCTGGCACAGAAAGAAATTATATTAAGGGGGGAGAACGTCTGGATTGGAAATGGTCCTGATGGAGACTAAAGAATGACTTACTGCAGCAGGCTCCCAGAAAACCCAGCTGGAAACAAAACAACTAAGCAGTTTTCTTATCACTAACTTGCACTGTGTGAGGCTCCATTTTCTGAAGTCTATGTCAATTAAGGCAGCAGCCTGAGTCCAGTTATGGCCTCACTGTGCTAATGGCTGGAGGGCAGTTTCACAAGAACAGAG